AAATTATATAAAATTACAAAAAAATAATTGGATAATGAATGTTAATTAAAAATATGTTGGAAGATGCTTTATTGTAACACGTATTTCCCTTATTTAAGATACAAATGTGTATTTTTTGGAAGACACGTGTTTGTGGCAGAATTGAAAAATCTGACATTTTCCGTTACGGCGAAGTAACTATATATAATAACAATAAGAAGACCGAATAAATTTTTACACTTAGAGATTCTTCGAAGTATATGTAGGTACTTATATTTTTAACTAGTTGTTACTTATCGCTAACGATAAATAATATAATGGTGTGATTTTGAACAGACGACTATTATTTGAATTTAAATTAAATAAACTCGAATGATTATTCTATCGCAATAACGAAAGTGATTTAAATTATAGATAAAAAATGAATGATTGGGTTGCCTAGCAATCAATACAAAATATCAAATGGCAATACCTAATTAGAATCCTTCTTTCTGGGGTGCCTGATAGTGAGAAGCGTGCTTGTTGATTTAATTATAGTTGCTTAATTTTGTAAACTGAAATTAACAAATTTTGCAATTTAAATACCTTTTCCTAATTTAAATAATTCGATGTCATTGTGACGAAAGTGTCTCCAACTTTCTCGTGCTTTTCGTTTTCTCTTCTTCTTGTCGCTTTGTTTCTCTTCCTTTTTCGCCTTTTCCATTTGTTCAATTGTCATTTTCCGGCGGTGCAGTCTTCAGACAAACATCCATCAAGACGGCGACGTGTTTGTTGATTATTCTTTTTAAAATATGCGCAAATAAAGAAGATTTCAGTATAGAATTCACGATAATAAAGTTTCACTAAAACTGTTAGGTACTGTTTCTTTACGCAGTTGGTGGTACCTTCTCCTGAACTGTTGCCATGTTATGGAATGATATTTATTGGCACCTTTAGTTCCCTTATCGTTGTTTATATTGTAAAATACTGTGTACAGTTTCTATTACTTTCATGAGACACTTCGCAGTTTGTGATCGCACCAGCAACGAACCCCGATAAGCGTTTTAGTTATTAATCTTCTACATGTAGGTACTATCGTAATCTGAACATACAATACTGTATAACAACTCGGGTGTTTAATTGAATCCCAAGTATTCACACTAATAGCATCTTTATTCCATAATCGCGAGATGTGGACTGAACTCTCAACATGCTCTCAACCATCTCTCAACTGTAGGTTTTAAAATGTGTTAAGGCACCGTAGACTAAACAAGGTCCTTGATTTTATTGCATTGCTATATTGATACAATTGCTGGCTGCTATATCGGTAAAGTTCAAATGTTTATTGAAAGAAAGGATGTTTAGGATTTTGCGGCACGTTCCAGGTGTAATAAGTTCCAGAACAGTAGTAAGAATTGTTTGACCGGATATTTGTTAACGAATATCTGAAATTTACTGCGGAAGTTTGATGAAAAC